AAGGCCCAGGCGCAAAAAGCATTGAGAGAATTGGAATCGCAGTTGGCCGAATTGCAGGAAGATTTGGAAGCTGAAAAGGCGGCTCGTAGTAAAGCGGAAAAATTGAAACGAGACTTGAACGAGGAATTGGAAGCTTTGAAAAATGAATTGTTGGATTCGTTGGATACTACCGCGGCTCAGCAAGAATTAAGAAGTAAACGCGAACAAGAATTGGCTACTTTGAAGAAAAATCTTGAAGAAGAAACTTCGGTACACGAGGCTACGTTATCCGACATGCGACACAAGCATACGCAAGAATTAACTGCTTTGAACGAACAAATGGATGCCTTGAAGAAAACTAAAGCCGCTTTGGAGAAGGCAAAGGGTTCACTCGAGGCTGAAAATGCAGATTTGGCAACCGAATTGAGATCAATTAGCGCGAGCAGACAAGAATCTGATCGCCGTCGTAAGCAAGCAGAGCAACAGTTAGCCGACGTTAGCGCCAAATTAGGTGAAGTTGAGAGAAACAAACAAGAATTGGCAGAAAAGGTAACGAAACTTCAACAGGAGGCTGAAAGCGTGATGCAACAATTAGAAGCTGCGGAATTGAAGGCATCGGCAGCGTTAAAAGCATCGGCAACGTGCGAATCGCAATTTACAGAACTTCAGCAACAATTGGAGGAAGAGACCAGACAGAAGCTCGCGTTAAGCTCGAAACTTCGTGCGGTCGAAAGCGAGAAGGAAAGTTTACACGAACAATTGGAAGAGGAAGAGGAAGCAAAACGCGGCTTGGAAAAGCAAGTTTTGAATTTGAACGCTCAGCTGGTCGAAGTTAAGAAACGTGCCGAGGAAGAGGCAGAAGCGGCGGCAGCGTTGGAAGAAAGTAGAAAACGTTGTACGAAAGATATCGAGGCGCTTCAAAGACAAGTCGAAGAATTGCAAGCGGCTAACGACAAATTAGATAAGTCGAAGAAGAAGATACAAGCGGAATTGGAAGACAGTATCATCGAATTGGAGGTGCAACGAGCCAAGGTGTTGGAATTGGAGAAGAAACAGAAGAATTTCGACAAGGTGCTTGCAGAAGAGAAAGCAGTATCGGAACAATATGCGGAACAGAGAGACAACGCGGAAAGAGAAGCCCGAGAGAAGGAAACCAGAGTCCTTTCGTTAACGCGCGAATTGGACGAGCTCAACGAGAAGGTCGAAGAATTGGAAAGAGGCCGTCGCGGGCTTCAATCGGAATTAGACGAGTTGGTTAATAATCAAGGTACCGCTGATAAAAACGTACACGAATTGGAAAAAGCTAAACGCGCATTGGAATCGCAATTGGCTGAACAAAAATCGCAAGTGGAAGAACTGGAGGACGAGTTGCAATTCACGGAAGACGCAAAATTAAGATTGGAAGTAAACATGCAAGCGTTGCGCGCGCAATTCGAGAGAGATCTTCAAGCGAAGGAAGAACAAGCGGAAGAGAAGCGTCGAGGACTGGTCAAACAATTGCGCGATCTCGAAGCCGAGTTGGAGGATGAAAGGAAACAACGGGCAGCTGCGATAGCTCAACGTAAGAAAATGGAAAGCGATTATAAGGACATGGAGCAGCAATTAGAGATTCATAATAAAGTAAAAGAGGATGCGTTGAAACAATTGAAAAAATTGCAAGCACAAATAAAGGATTATACTAGGGAAATAGAGGAATTCAGAGCTGCTAGAGACGAATTGGCGGCCGGTGCGAAAGAATCCGAAAGGAAAGTTAAGAGTCTCGAAGCTGATTTAATGCAGCTGACGGAAGACTTCGCAAACAGCGAACGTGCCAGACGAGCGGCCGAAAATGAGAGAGACGAACTCCAAGAGGAAGTTAATAATAACGCCAATAAGGGAACTCTGATGCTAGACGAGAAGCGTAGACTCGAAGCAAGAATCGCTACTTTGGAAGAGGAATTGGAAGAGGAACAATCCATTTCAGAGGTCGCCGTGGATCGCGCGAGAAAGGGACAGATCACGATAGAACAATTGTCGACCGATTTGGCTACCGAACGATCTACGACGCAGAAACTCGAATCTCACAGAATGTTGTTGGAGAGACAAAACAAGGAATTGAAGGCTAAACTTGCCGAATTGGAAACTGCTCAACGTGCTAAGACAAAAGCTACGATACAGCAATTGGAGTCTAAGATAAATAACTTAGACGAGCAATTGGAAACCGAAGCTAAGGAAAGGTTTGCTCAACAAAAGATCAATCGGAAATTGGAAAAGAAATTGAAAGAAATGAGTTTACAATTGGAGGATGAGAGGAGAAACGCCGACCAATATAAGGAGCAGGTGGAAAAAGTAAATGCTAGAATGAAGACACTTAAGAGACAGTTAGACGAAGCGGAAGAAGAAATCAGTAGACATAAAGCTATGAAACGAAAAGCTCAAAGAGAGATGGATGATATGATGGAATCTCAAGAGGAACTTACGCGTGAAGTAGCGAATCTGAAGAACAAATTGAGGTAAATATCTAAGTAGACAATTGGAGTATAAGACCTTTCTATAGGCGCATAAAACGCAACCCTCTTTTCGTAAATTTGTTTAAAGGCGTGGTGGACCTGCTATAAGTTTGAGCTCTACGAGGCTAAAACGTGGATCTGTACAAACTGGAGGCTCCGGCGATGATTCGACTACGCAAGACGAAAGTATCGATGGCGAAGAAAATACTAATTGAAGTCCTGCAAACCTTTTCAAATGTGCAAGAACGAGGAAAACAACAACAACAGCCTAACATCGCGTAATAGAGCGGCAACGATAGCGGAATTTCTCGATCTTATGTAAACTTCGACTATGTAAAGTCAATTGAATTTAGTACATTCGATCTAACATTCGCTTTCAGTGATATCAAATTTTACAAGGAAGGATAACGCATAAAAATCCTGTTTCTTAAGAGTGCTATTAAGAGATATATAAAGGTGGATCTGTGTATATTGATCCTGCGAATTGGATAATAGTTTATAGGAAGTAATTATCTCTTTGTTTGTATTCTACTCTACTTGTTTTCTTCCTTCATTTTCTCTAGAGTTTTATATGCTTCCCATAAAATGCCATGAGATAGATGTCGAATGTAAGAAGAAGATTCTTTTTTTTTTTTTTTTTTTGTTTAAGAATGTGTATATAATTTTACAACTTATTAATTAATAACTTGACCGCCGAGCGGTATGAATGCAAACATGATTTTAAATTTATATGATGCATGTCGAGAAGTTAAGTTTTTTGAGAAAAATAGAAAGTCAATAACAGAGCGGATTACTGCATAATTTATAACAACTTAACGAAACTATTAGATAGCACTAAGATATTAGTCTTTATTATTATTATTATGACTATTATTATTATTATATTATGACTATTATTATTATTATTATTATTATTATTATTATTATTATTA